ATAAAGAATATAAGAATATTCAAGAGCTTCAGTAATCTCCAATTCAGAATCCCGTTCTCCTGGAATTATTCGAAGTTCATGTTTATGCTGACTGAATAGCTAGATTCCAGGAACATCTAGTGAGAACAGTACAGTAATGAGTCATGCAAGTTCCAAGACTGTCGGGGACAAAGCGGAACCTACGAACGACAAACTCAACGAGGAAACCCGGTCTCTACAAACCCGTTCAAGGGAAAGCGGTTCATCCCTCAGTTCAAATGCCATGCTTGCCGTCGCAAGAGCACGAGCAAAAGCCGAAGCAGCTGAAGCCAGAGCATCCTATACTCAGCGGGAGATAGCTTTAAAGGTTGAACAAGCCCGTATACAAGCTACACTTGAAGCACTTCAGGTAGAGAAAGAAAGGGACGCTGCTAAAGCCGAATTGGAAACCCTGGAAGCTGGCCTAGTTGAGAGTGATCTAAGATCTGCAGCCAAAAAACCTATCCCTCTCTCACCTCTAAAACGGCTGCAACATACGGAGGAATACGTGAAGGAGCAGTCACGTATTAAGTCATCACACCATTCCAATATGGACGAAGCCCCATTTCACACACCATATGTGACACGCCAATGGCAAACTGGACTTCCACGTGATGATCAAGGCAGCCTTCCCATCAAAAACAAGCATGGGGTCTCACACATAGGCGAACAGCCCTCCAATCAACACCAGTCTTCTACTCACCCACATGGGGCCTTCGGCATAAATCCACGTATTTCAGAGTACGACAGAACACCTACCAACCACGATCTTGCCAAGTGTCTGGCTCGCAACCAGCTCCTCACAACAGGCCTAAGCACCTTCGACGACAAACCAGAGAACTATTGGGCCTGGAAATCGTCTTTCAAGAGTGCCATTGCCGGATTAGACCTTACAGCAGGAGAAGAGCTGGACCTCCTCAGTAGATGGCTTGGCAGAGAGTCTTCAGAGCACGTTCGCAGGCTCAAAGCAGCGAACATCAGATGTCCGCCAGCTGGACTAAGTATGGCCTGGGAGAGGCTGGAAGAGACGTACGGCTCACCTGAAGCCATCGAGCGAGCTCTCTTCTCCAAATTAGAGCGTTTCCCAAAACTAACAAACAAAGAACCACAAAAGCTCCGTGAACTCGGAGATCTGTTGCTAGAGGTCAAAGCAGCAAAGCTGGATGGCTACCTACCTGGGCTAGCATACTTGGACACATCCAGGGGAGTTCATCCCATCGCCGAAAAGTTGCCCTATAATCTCCAGGAAAGGTGGATGTCATACGGGTCGAGATACAAACGTGATAACAACGTCAGCTTTCCTCCATTTCCTGTCTTTGTCGACTTCGTGCGCACAGAAGCTATGACACGTACAGATCCCAGCTTCAACTTCGCTGTTTCTCAAGCACCGTCAGAACCAAGAAAGGGCTCAGACAGGTTTACCAGAGCATCTGTATCCGTCAACAAGACAACTGTGTTCCCATCCAAGGAATACGGAGGTACAAATAAATCAGTTAACGACAACAAGCTCTGTCCCATACATGGGAAGCCTCATCCGCTGAAAAAGTGCAGAAGCTTCAGGGAGAAGACCATCGAGGATCGCAAACAATTCCTGAAAGATCACTCCATATGCTTTAGATGCTGTTCATCCACAGAACATCTCGCAAGAGACTGCAAAGCGGAAGTACAATGCGGAGAATGCCAGAGTGATCGTCATCCGTCAGCCCTCCATCCGGGTCCCCCCCAATGGACATCCAGGCCCTTCACCTCTTCTCCAGAGCATGGCGGGGAGGAGGACAAGGTCACCGAAGACGTCACCGCTAAGTGCACGGAGGTATGTGGAAGAGGAGTTAGCGCAAGAGCATGCTCAAAGATATGTCTCGTCAGTGTTTACCCTGAGGGGCACCATGAGAAATCAACGAAAGTCTATGCTATACTCGACGAGCAAAGCAACAAATCTCTGGCGAGGTCAGAGTTCTTCAGTGTCTTTAACATCCAAGGTGGGGAATTTCCATACACGCTGAAAACATGCGCAGGGCTCAAAGAGACAACTGGACGAAGGGCCCATGGTTACGTTATAGAGTCAATCGACCAGAAGATCAGTCTTCGTCTCCCTACACTCATTGAATGTAACCAGATCCCCAACAACCGTTCAGAGATTCCAACCCCTGATGCAGCTTTGCACCACAATCACCTGAGGAAGATGGCGGACGAGATACCATCCCTTGATCCGCAAGCAGAAATACTCTTGTTGCTTGGCAGGGACATCCTTAGAGTCCATAAAATCAGGAAGCAAATCAACGGGCCACACAATGCTCCATTCGCCCAGAAGTTGGACCTTGGTTGGGTCGTAATCGGCGACGTCTGCCTAGGAGGGGCTCACAAGCCATCTGTAGTGAGCACGCTCAAGACTGCCATCTTGGAAAATGGCCGCCCAAGCTACCTGCAGCCCTGTGGCAGTCAAGTGCAAGTAAAAGAAAGATTTGGTCACGACACTATGCACCAAGCTTTCCCAGTGACTTCTTCAGACAGTTCACCCTCAACAATAGATGAAGAGAATCTGGGTCAATTCATCTTTCGTCGCACTCCCAGCGACCACAAACTCGCCCCCTCAATAGACGACACAAGGTTTCTCCGCATCATGGACAGTGAGGTCCATCAAGACAACTCCAACAGCTGGGTTGCTCCCTTGCCCTTTAAGACACCCAGACAAAGGCTACCAAACAACAGAGACTGTGCCTATAATCGTCTAATCTCACTCCGTCGGACCTTAGAGAAACGTCCCCAGATGAAGACACACTTCCTGGAATTTATTGAGAAATTGTTCAAGAACGAACACGCAGAGGTAGCTCCTCCACTGCAGGAAGGCCAAGAAGTCTGGTATCTCCCCTCCTTTGGAGTCTATCATCCGAAGAAGCCGGAGCAGATTCGAGTTGTCTTCGACTCTAGTGCAGCCTATCAGGGCGTCTCACTCAACAACGTGCTTCTCCGAGGCCCAGACCTGAACAACACCCTCATTGGTGTACTCATGAGTTTCAGAAAAGATCTCGTCGCAATAACAGCTGACGTCCAGCACATGTTTCACTGTTTCGTCGTGAAAAAAGAGCATAGAGATTTTCTGCGTTTCCTGTGGTATCGCAATAACGATCTCGACAGCGACATCGTGGAGTACAGAATGCGTGTCCACGTCTTTGGAAACAGCCCTTCCCCAGCCGTTGCCATCTATGGGTTGAGGAGAGCAGCGAGAGAAGAAGAAAACGACTTCGGCGGCGATGCAAGAAGGTTGGTCGAAAGAGAGTTCTACGTTGACGACTTGTTAAAGTCCTGCCCCACTGAGGGAGAAGCTATCAGTGTCCTCAAGCGAGCTCAAGAAATGCTCGCCGTTTCCAACCTTCGGTTGCATAAAGTGGCCTCTAACCGACAAGCCGTCATCGATGCTTTCAGCCCAGAAGATCGGGCCAAAGACATCCAAGAGCGCAATCTTTTCAGCGACGATATGCCACTGCAACGGACTCTAGGAGTGACATGGAGCATAACAGCAGATACGTTCATGTTCCAAGTTGCTGCTGAACAGAAACCCTTCACCCGGCGAGGAGTGCTTTCAACCGTGAATAGTATTTACGACCCCCTTGGTTTCCTTACCCCAGTAACTATACAGGGAAGGCTACTCCTCAGAGAACTCTCCATACAAGCTGAAGAATGGGATTCTCCCCTTCCAAAAGGCATGGAAGTAGATTGGGACAGATGGAGGGAGTCTCTTCAAGACCTTAAAGATCTCAAAATACCAAGAGCCTACACGACTATCTCAAGCCCTAATGCTCAGCGCAGAGAACTATGCATCTTTGCGGACGCATCAGTGAAGGCAGTTTCAGCTGTGGCATACTTGAAAGTAACCAACAATGATGGACGAGTAGAAGTCGGCTTCGTCTTTGGAAAGGCCAGACTAGCTCCAAAACCAGACCTTTCTATACCTCGGTTGGAGCTTTGTGCGGCAGTTCTCGCTGTCGAGATGGCCGACATGATAGTGGAAGAAATGGATCTGAAGTTTGACAGCATCGAGTACTACACAGACAGTAAGGTGGTACTTGGCTACATCCATAATCAATCCAGGAGGTTCTACGTTTACGTGAACAACAGAGTTCAGCAAATCCGTCAGTCCTCAGCTCCAGAACAGTGGCAGTATGTGTCCACCGATCATAACCCAGCAGACCATGGGACTCGATCCGTGCCAGCGTCACTTCTGGGAAGTACAACATGGCTCACCGGGCCAGCCTTTCTCCGGAACCCGTCTTCACCAAAACCAGAACGTCAAGAGATCTATGACCTAGTTGACTCCATCTCAGATTCCGAGGTTCGCCCACAAGTTGTTGTTAACATCACTAATATCAAAAAGGACACTTTGAACACAGCACGCTTTGAGCGCTTCTCTGACTTTGACACTCTCATCAAGGCAGTAGGACACTTAGTCCACATCGCTTCGTCTTTCTCCCAAGCTAGACAGGTGGACACCTGTCACGGGTGGCACATCTGCCACAAGGGGCTTTCCAATGGGGAGACGGAGAAAGCTAAGATACTGGTGATTAAAAGTGTGCAACGTGAGTGCTACGCAGAAGAGTTCAGGTGTATCGAAACGTCAGGCAACCTTCCTATCAACAGCAGTCTGCAGAAACTACATCCCTTTGTCGACAGCACTGGAATACTCAGAGTGGGAGGTCGCATCAAAGAGTCTCAGTTAAGCACAGACGAAACCAACCCCATCATTATTCCAGGCCATCACCATCTAGGAACCCTCATTGTTCGTCATCACCACCATGCTGTGAAACACCAAGGCAGGCATTTTACAGAGGGCGCCGTCAGAGCATCTGGAATCTGGCTGGTGAGAGCTAAACGAAGCATCAGTAGTCTGCTCTCCAAATGCGTGACCTGCAGAAGACTTCGAGGGAAAACAGAGCACCAACAGATGGCAGATCTGACAGCCGAGCGGCTACAGGCAGCACCACCCTTTTCATATGTGGGAGTAGATGTATTCGGGCCTTGGGAGGTGGTCTCTCGCCGTACCAGAGGAGGGCAAGTCAACAGTAAACGCTGGGCAGTGTTGTTTTCATGTATGTGTACACGAGCCGTGCACATCGAAATCATCGAAGCCATGAGTGCTAGCAGCTTCATTAATGCACTCAGAAGGTTTTTCGCTATCAGAGGGCCCGCAAAGCAGCTGCGCTCAGATTGTGGGACCAATTTCATTGGCGCATGCAGAGAGCTCGGAATGGATGGATCCCTCCCTGACCCGCATGGCGTGGAGAAGTTTCTGGAGGCACAGAAATGCATCTGGGTTTTCAATCCCCCTCATTCATCTCACATGGGCGGTGTATGGGAGAGGATGATCGGGATCGCTCGTCGTATCCTGGACTGCATGCTTCTGGAAGATAAGTCACGCCTAACTCATGAGGTCTTGACGACCCTAATGGCCGAGGTCAGTGCTATTATGAACGCAAGGCCTCTGATTCCTGTATCTTCCGATCCAGAAGCTCCCGTTATCCTCTCTCCTCTGATGCTCCTGACTCAGAAAGTCGGCGCTCCTCCACCTCCACCAAGCGACTTCAAGAAAGGAGAGCTTCTCAAGGCAGAATGGAAGCGTGTCCAAAGTCTGGCGAACACCTTTTGGACTAGGTGGCGCCGAGAGTATTTGAGCACCCTGCAAGTCCGGCATAAATGGGTAAACAAGAGGCCTAATCTCAAGCAAGGAGATGTAGTCTTAATGAAAGATGCTCAAGCAAAGAGAAACGACTGGCCCACTGCAGTCGTCACAAAGGCTTTTCCGAGCCAGGATGGACTGGTGAGGAAAGTAGACGTGCGAGTGATCAAGGAGGGCAAGCCGAAGGTTTACTCCAGACCTGCGACGGAAGTGGTCCTTCTCCTGTCTCCAGAGGACTCTCAAGATTAAAGTAGTTGTAGAAATGTGAGGTCCTGTCTCCAAAACCTCAAGCGGGGAGTGTTGTGTTCCGTGTATAGAGCTGTGTGTTTGTGGGAGCCCCCAGTGGCGAGTGATAATAGCGCAGCTTTATCTACAACAGGAAATAGTCATACAGGAAGTTGTGTCAGTCAGTTGGGAAATTACATGTGGCAGTCCAGTTTTTGTTAGCTCCACAATCTGGCTTCATCCATCTTCTGGAGACTCGTTAAGCGCATTGTCTGTAAGTAAATATGTTCGTCGAAACTATATTAATGTAGAACGGTGTTTATTTCATAATTTGATCGTATTTCTTACCTTTTATTATGCAATGTTAAACTGCATCTGCACCACTAGGCCTAAGCTAACGCCTCATGTCAATGACAATGTAACAGTATTCCGCTAGCGTATTAGCTCGTTGTTAGCTTAGCCTCTTTAGCATATTAGCTCGTTGTTAGCTTAGCCTCTTTAGCATATTAGCATTTAGCTAAACTCTTGTTTTCTCTTCAGTTATAACATAGATTTGTTAGCCTTCTAAGTTGTCTAACTAGTCTAGCATGACTATAGCATGGTAATTTATGTTGTGTTTCCGTATACCTGTCATGTATACTTATCCCATTGCAACTGTAAAACAATGTCTTTTTCTTGTGTGTTACAGTTTTACAATAAAGAATATAAGAATATTCAAGAGCTTCAGTAATCTCCAATTCAGAATCCCGTTCTCCTGGAATTATTCGAAGTTCATGTTTATGCTGACTGAATAGCTAGATTCCAGGAACATCTAGTGAGAACAGTACAGTATCAATTGTGAACTTTCTTAATATGAATTGTAAATATATGTTCTCTTTGGAACACAGATAGGACAGTAGCTGCTGAAACTGGTTAATAGCAGCTTTCTGTTAACCTAGATAAGCATGTTGTTCTTATATCTAGTAAATATATTTTTACTTCATGTTTACTCACAAAACAATATCACCTTTTTCAGACTATAGTCAACTTTATATAAGTTTTACTCTCTCTGAACTTCCAAAACATCTACTTCTCCTGTCTCTCTCTCTCTGTGCCCTGCAGCTGCTCCTGCACAAGCTTCTCTCATCAATCACCTCTCTGTGTTTAGCCAACAGTGTGAGATGGCTTTTAGCCTCGTGCAGCACCTCTGTCATGTTTAAACATGAACAGATCCCTCCTGTTTACTTTCTACTCTTTCTTCATAAACTCAAAAACACAATTAATGTCTACTAATGATATTACAAAAACTACCTAATGACAAATACCACACAATTCACAATGCAATGCAATAGTAACAATCAGTTCTCAAAACTTCTCATGAAAACCACAATGTGACGTAACTGCATCCCACAAAAACTATGCTAAAAACGACAAATTATAGTTTCTTATTTATTTAAATATCTACGACACATTGATCTATTAATTTTCAATGTTATTCACTCCAACTTCAGACCAGTCGTTGATTATTCACTCCTTGTTTTAAATTCTACGCTCAGCAGCCATTTTTGAGGCATTTTGAGAAGAAGCACAAGCAGTCACACTTCGGGCTGCTGCTTCAGCAATTAGAGGAAAGCTGTGAAGAAAAAAGGGGGGCTTTCTTTAACCCACGCATTTCTTTATCTGACTTTTCACCCTTATCTATTAGTAATTATTCACAGAAAATTATTCCCCGTACAGTCTATCCAGCGTTATGGTGCGATGTTTATTTCAACAGATAATGGACGTTCAAATGCGCTTTGACACCGCTTTTCAGCGATGTGGCATTTTCAAGGAGCCTCATTATCTCTTTATCGTCACGTTTGGCCAGATAGATTAACCCCACAGAACAAGAGAACGAGATTCCGGTCCTTTCAAAATGGTTATTTGAAATTATTTGCGTATCTCTTCCTGGATTCACATATAATACAACTGCAGTTCCTATGAGACTGGAAAACATTATTCAATTTTGTTCTGGATGGAATCATTAGAAACCACTGAACTCCCCCGATGGGTTAGCCGTCTCGATTTCTGAAAAAACCCACGGGGCCTTTCACCTTCATCTTACACTCATCGCTTCACGTGTAGCTAACGAGTTAGTCGTGCGATTCTGAAAAATCCACAAGGTTCCTAACCGCTGCTTTATTAATCTTATTATTATTAGTTAGTTACCTACCTATGCTAAAATATGCATTGCATTATCTTTAGTATGAAGACTAGACACTGAGAAATATTCCTGACAACTCTAAAAAATTTGAATATAGCCAAATCACAGATTTTGAGTGTAACGGGTATCCGTGCTTACCTGATATTTTGTATAGAGCTCTGTTGTTAGTCGTCAGAAAGTATTTCGAGGTGTCACCCCTGGACAGCTTCGTCCGCTGGCTGCCGATGTGACTCCCTCTGAACCCCCACTCGCAAACGTCAGGGTCACCACTTTGTAGGAGTTTTGAGGTTTTTACAACCCCACTCTGCTCCGCGTGTCGCTTTGACGAGTCCTGCTTAAAATCATAACAGGAAGGAAATCAGACAGAGAACACCCAGATACCAGTTTAAACAATAATCTGTTTTAATTATCAAAGGTAATAATGCAATGCAATATAATACATTACAATACAATATAATATACTACAATTATATTGTAATGTGTAAGGAGTATGCCGGCCCACTCCTGCCCTGGTTTGCGTGCTGCGGAGATCTTTCCGGTCCTGACAGCATGTGAAGAGAGAGCGAACGCCAGGAATCGACAGGAGATATACCAGAATAAGAAGGAGGGGTTAGGTCAGCTGGTCAGCAGAAAACCAAACAGGCTCACTTTGCAACAAAACACATCTTATCACCTAAGTCATGTGTCTTTTTATGAAAGCCATACTTGTTGGAAATATAACAGTCATCATCTCATGGCATCCTCAGGACCAGCTCACCAACAACGCCTAACTGTCTCCATAGCCCCAGGCCATCTCTGAACTTCCATTCACCCATAATCAGCTCACCCAGAATGAGAAGGACCATTGTTTCTCTAATTGTGTGTGACTCAATTCTCCTGCTCCTTTAGGAGTCCTGAAATTAACGCAAATATATTTCTCTCACAAAGATAACACAAAGATTTCATCCCTCATATCTCCAACTTCTGGTTACACAGACTGCTTATTAATTAAACCCACACATATACTATTCAAGACATGTAGACTTCCCTGAAACATGACATGTTAGAGATCTTAAGCAGAATATACTCTCATCCACCCAGCCCCCTGTCCTGCATACCTACACCTCCCCCACAGAGCAATAAAACCCTGTTTACTCCAACCAGCCCAGAATGTTTATAGCCATTTTTAGTCCTTACATTTATGAAAGGATAAAACAGAGAAATCAATATAAAACACAAACACAGGTATTGTTTGAACAGTATTCACTTAACTGCTACTATTGATAACCACCAGAGAAACCCAAAGGACCTCTTTTAATATCTATCTGGAATTTGCAACAAGACTTTCTGCCATTTCAAATGTAACACACTTCTTAAATATCAGATAATAATAATCTTCAATGCTGACAGCCCCCGCTCCTGCCGCCCGCTTGCTGCAGACCACACTTCCACGCTCATCGGCAGGCTCCGACTGGCCATCGGGAGAACCGGGAGGGTGTGTGTATGTGTGGCTCGAGCGAGCGAGAGAGAGACCTTACGTGTATTGTTAGCATCTGGTGCTAGCTAGCTGCGCTAACGGATATAAGGAGCTGTTTAAATGAAAACAGAGGAGCGACATTTCGCCACAACTGCGCCGAGCACTTGACTTTATGCAGGTAGTCAGACAGTGGGACATTGTACGAAAAGTCAGCACACTCAGCACGGATAGTGCGCCTAACATGATTGCAGCGTCCAGGCAGCTCCCGTTCGAGCATATGCATTGAGTTGCACATAGCTCCAACGATCCATCACACACACACACACACACACACACACACACACAAATAATAATGCATTTTATTTATGGGCGCCTTTCAAAGCTCTCAAGGACACCTTACAGAGCATAATTAAAAACAATCAACAAAGAAGAGCACACAGTAATACAAGACTTTAAAAAAAAATACTTAAATAGAGACTTAAAAAATAAAAAAAATAAAAAACAGACTTAAAAACAACAATCAGTTTAGCAGAGATTAAGAAATAGAATACACCAGTTTAAAAAGGTGTGTTTTCAGGCTGGATTTGAAGGGTGGGAGGGAGTCCATATTGCGGATGTCTTGTGGGAGAGAGTTCCAGAGACGGGGGGCAGAGTGGCTGAAGGCTCGTCACCCCATGGTGATCAGGCGGGCAGAAGGTACAGTGAGTTGGAAGGCAGAGGAGGATCGGAGAGTACGAGAGGGAGTGTAGATGTGAAGGAGCTCAGAGAGATATGGAGGGGCAAGAGTGTGAAGGGCCTTGAAGGTGAGGAGCAACACTTTGAAGTCTATGCGGTGCTTAACGGGGAGCCAATGGAGTGATATGATTAATGAAAGGAGTTCTGGTGATGATACGGGCGGCTGAGTTTTGGACCTGTTGGAGCTTACGTAGGGATTTCTGAGGAAGACCAGAGAGGATGGAGTTACAATAATCGATACGGGACGTAACGAGGGCGTGGACGAGGATGGCGGTGCTGTTGGGTGTGAGTGACGGGCGGAGGCGGTTAATATTGCGGAGGTGGAAGTAGGCAGATCGAGTGATGTTGTTGATGTGAGCTTCAAATGATAAGGTGCTGTCAAGGATGACACACACACACACACTTTGTATTGTATGAGACGTTCCAGGTTGAATTGAGGCGAATATTTGTAATGTTCAGAGGTTGTTGTGTTTAATATTCATGAGAATATTTGTCATTGTTCAAATGATAATAAACATTAGCATAAAGCATATTTGTCCACTCATATGTTGATAAGAGTATTAAAATCTTGAACAATATTCCTCTAAGGTACATTTAGAACAGATACAAAACGTGCGATTAATTTGCGATATTTTAATCGACTGACAGCCTTAATAATTATACTGTATAGTTGTTGATCTTGTTCTGATATTCTTTTATGCTCCTTGTGCAAAGCAAATTCCTACCTAAAATAGTTATAGATATGTTTCATTTCATTTCATTTCAAACCTTTATTTAACCAGATTGGTCCCATTGAGATCATAGATCTCTTTTTCAAGGGAGACCTGCAGCATATAGGTTCCACATGAAACATAAAACAATAAAGGACATTATACATTATATTTACAGGATACATTTACATATTTATAGACATTTACAAGTGGCCATAGTATCAACAAGCATTTCATTTAGTCTAGCTTTAAAAACATGCAGAGGAATGAGATTGCTCAGTTTCAATTCTTGCTGAAGACTGTTCCAAGCAAATGGAGCTGCGCACATAAAAGCTGTCTTACCTAAGACAGTCCTTGCTCTTGGCACATCTAACAATACTACATCATGCGATCTCAGACAATAGCTGCTTGCAACTCTCGGTGTTATCAGAGAGCAGATATAATATGGGAGCTTACCCAACAAAGCTTTATAAATAAACGTGTACCAATGACTGAGCCTCTTTACAGTAAGTGATGGCAGACCTGCCTTGGCATACAGGGTACAGTGATGAGTAAGTGCTTTACAATTTGTGACAAATCTCAGTGCGCTGTGATAGGCGGCATCTAACTTGTTCAGGCAATAGGCAGGTGCATTCATATAGATCAAATCACCATAGTCCAGCACAGGTAAAAAGGTCACAGTGACTAGCCTTTTCCTGGCTTCAAAAGAGAAACAGGACTTGTTTCTGAAAAAGAAACCTAGTC